CACCTCCTCCTCCTTCAACTGCCTCCAGTAGCGGCCTCAGCAAGTTCTCCCATCCCCTGGCCCCCCTCTTGGGGCGCCCTTCCTGCCCATCCTGCTGGCCGCCAGCCTCATGGATGTCTGTGGCTGTCGTCCTGCCCCTCTCCACTTGCACGCTGTGATGGAACCTGGGTATAGAGCAGGGGACTCCAGGGGTCCGGGGGGGTGGGGGGGGGCATGACTGCTGCCAAAATACACAAGAGGAAGGCAGACTCAGGATGGATAGAGTTGAGTGGATATATATGGGACCTGCTGTCCTGGTAGCGGTCCAGGGCCCTCATCTTGCTGTTAATGTTTTCTGGTTAAAGGCAGTGCCCCATGGTCTCTCCCCACCCACTCCTTGCAGCTACTGTCACCTGACGACCACCTTCAGCATCTACGTGTACGGGGCCTTCCCACTGAACATCTTCAGCCCTGAGACCACCATTACCCTGATCATGATAACCATCCTGCTGTCTGTGTGGCTGGCCTACGTGATCCCCAAATGGCTGCCCATGGAGCAGGGCCACAGTTTCAAAGGGTACTGGGACAGTCTGTGCAACAGGTGCAGAAAGTCTTGTGCGTGTTTCCAGTTTAGGCGCTGAGGTGCACTGGAGGTTCAGAGTTGTAATAAATTTCATGCAAAACAAGCAGATGGCCTGAGCATCAGTCATGGGTGGTGGTTTCCTGACACCTACTTGCACTGCTCTGCCTTCCTCACTATGCTGGCGTCGGGGTTCCTCTCAATGGCAGCACCTCCGTCGGCTGTAACAGTCAGGGAGGGGCGGTCCACTGATCAAGAGGAGCGGGTGACGCAGACCAGCAGGCACACATGGAGTGACAGGCGCCTCAGCAGAGGGTGAGACAGTGACATGTGCTGTTAGAGAAGGTTAAGACGCAGGAAAAGGCAGTGGAGTCCATGGAAGACTGAGGGATGAAATTCCGTGTTTGTTTATAAACCCTAACACATGTACAAACAAACATATAAAGGCATGTTTTATATAAACACGAATAAAATTTTAAAAGCACATATTTTATTATATATGTTATTTATACATATGCATGTAGGTGATGTGCACATATGTATACATACATGTCTATACATATACATGTGTATGTGCATGATATATAGGGATATGTGTGTACATGCATACATAGGTAGACATAATAGGTACTCGTGCATATAGTATGTATACATATGCATGTGCATGTCTGTGTAATGTGTATACACTTATGTATACATATATAGTATGCACACACAAGTATATAAGTTGTAGAGGTAAGCATACATGTTTGCACATACATACTTTATTATGGCTGTATATATACATAAGCATGGGTATATACTATAAGTAATGTAAATACATGCATGTGCACACATGTATACACATTCCAATACATGCGTGTATAGATAATATTCTACATGCATGTGTGCATATATTCATGCATATATATACATATATGCAGGTGTATGGGTTGCATGTGCGTGCATATACATGTGCATACATACAGGCAATACATATGCATATGTATGTGCATGTATGCACACAGTACACCCACTTGTATGTGCAGATATGTACTGTATACATGTATACATATGTGTACATATATATGATGTGTGAAACGTGTATGTGTGCGTGCAACGTGTGTGCATATGTATACATATATGCATGTGTGTAGATACTGTGTACATAAAGAGGGTGGGGCAAAAGTATGTTTATAGTTGTATGGAAAATAATCTCTCTCTATATAAAACCCTAACTGAATGGTGGAACAACTGAACAACCGGTCACTATGCCATACACCGACCACCAGGCGTGCACAGAACATGGTGGGCGTCAGCAGCAGGCAGCAGAGCGTGGAACATGGTGGGCATTGGCCATGGTGGGATAGTGGAGCAGGTGAGCAGGGGCGCCAGACCAAGGTGGGGCATCGGTCGCTGTCATCAGGGTGAGCTTCTGGTGGTTACTGAAAATTCTTTGCTCCCGCATGCCACAGTCCCACCAGACACTCGCACCCGCGGCCGGCACCGGCCCCAATTGTCCCTGAGGGCTTCTCCACCTCCCCCTGCTCCTGAGGGGCGATCCCAGGCAGCAGCCGCCTCTCGCACCCGCTGCCAGCGACAGCCCCACTCACACCTGCTGCCGGTGCTCGCCCCAATCGCTCTGCATGGGAGCAGTGGTGGTGGCAGGGCTGCCAGGAGACAGGGGACTGGCGGCCGCGGCAGGAGGGGCTGGGCAGGGGCATGGAGGATGGGCCAAGACCCGCCCCTGTGTCCACTGCAGCCTTGCACCCCCCAGTTCCTTTCAAGGTGCACAAATTCGTGCACTGGGCCCCAAGTATAATAAAAATACAATACACTGTTTTGCAAATTCACATCTGTAAACCTAATTTTGCCCCACCCTTTACACATACCATGTACATGTATACTCTTTCCATCCATCTATCCATCAGTGGGAGGTCACCACTTCATCATAAACCCAGGTGGCATGAGGCAGCCATCTCATTGTCAATGGAAACTTGGGTGGTCCCACGACTTTTCCTGTTTACTCTTAGGTTAAAAAATATATCTGTGGTCATCTCCAACGGCCCAGTGCAGCCTCAGTCCAGTCATCGACCCCTCCACTGCCAACTATAGTGAATAACCACTTACTCTGCCCTCTGGGCGGAGCAGGATGTCCCCCCCCCCCTCCCACCTAACCCTGCAGCCTCTCTGGAGGGGACGTGTTGGGTTGTCAGGTGACACTGGCTTCCTGTCCCTGGTCTGCATTTATCTTCAGAAAAACAAACGCATCCTCTTACAAGCTCATCATCCACTACCTCCTTTGCCAGGGCCTTCCCTTCATTGGGGACACTTGATTTTCATCCCC